AGGAACAGTGATAGTTGTACAGCCTTACACAATGAAATAGGCAAAATGTAGGAGTCTCTCCCCATCATTTCAAGACTGGTTCTTAAAAATACATATAGAAAAGCCATAAAATAGATGGCTACACATAATAAGGCCTGCTTTAATATTATTAATTCAGCCTTGCCTGAAAGGAATGCAGTGTTGTAAGCTGACATTGAAGCATGACATCTAAATAGCATTTGCCATGCCAGAGTAAATATTAAACCACATTATCTGACAATCCTAAGGGAATGGCCTTGCAATGTCAAGACTGTGGAAAATGATGGGAAATCAAATTCATAGAAATTTGACTTAGATGTTCAAAATAAAATGAATCTCTCTCATTGAGTGTGTTCAGGGATGAGATGATAGCAAAATGATTACACAAGCAAGACAGAGCATGGCTGCAAAGATGAAGGAGGTTAGATTGAAATGGGTTTCACTGTGGACTTTTATGATCATATTTATATATTCCTTCATCAGGCCATTTTCAACTGTAGTTTCTACACAGTATCCACCGAGATGCTGGAATACAAAACCCTTTCAGTGGGGAATAGGTATGTTCTCCGTCACTAGGACCTCCTACTAGAAGCATGAACAATGTTTGTTCTCATAAGCTATACCTCATACCTTCCTGGAAGTAAAAGAATGACCTCACTGGTGATGATATGGAGAGACCAAAGAATGCTACAGGAAAAGGCTGGTCATGAGAAAAACACCACATTCAAAGACTGATAAACATACAGTATGTTGGATGTAAAAGGGACCACGGGAAAGTGGTAGAGACCTGATGGAGGGGCAGGCAGAGGTCAGATGCAAAAGAGTCTTCATGACAGGCTTCAAATGAGGTCAGAATAGATTAAAGATTATTTTACAGGTCTCATGAAAACCTGGTGAGAGTCAAGATCAGAATTAGGCAACATTAAAGCTGTGTGATATGTCATACTTACTACTTTCAGAGTAATGTTGGTGTGCTACATTTTAGAGGCAACAACATATATCCCAGAACCTCCACTTTGATATGAATAATTCTGCTGAAGTGGCGGTGTGGGAGCCTGGGCCAAGATCATATTCTGTTCTTATTCTACATCCCAAAGATTTTAGTAAGAATCTCCAGAGCCAGGCCTCTAACTGCAGTCGGGGCTTGAATGTGGTCACCTTTCAGCAAGGTTTGGTCACACCCCAGTTATTTATTTGTTTATTTTGGTTTTTGAGACAGGGTCTCTCTGCATAGCCCTGGATATCCTGGAACTTCCTATGTAGATCAGGCTGGTCTCAAACTCAAAGAGATCCTCCTGTCTCTGACTCTTGAGTTCTGAGGTTAAAGGTGTACGCCCCCATGCCTGGCCCCAGCTTTTCACTTTTTTATGTGGTACTATGGATTGAACCCAGGGCCTTACACGTGCTAGGGAAGTACTCTAAAACTGAACTTTGTCCACAGTCCTCTTTTTAACCTTTTGTTACCGGGTCATGTCAAGTTCACTAGGCTAGTCTTCAACTTACTCTGCAGCCAAGACAGGCCTTTAGCACATCATCCTCCAACTTCAGCCTCCTGAGTAGTGAGGACATGAACCTGTGCCATCACTCCTGGCTCACATGCTAATCTTACAGCATACACACACCCCTCAGGAGCACCCACCTGTCACCCTTCCTGTAGAGGCAGCTTGCTAAGGGTGTTATGTACTGGCAACGGGTCCATGGCTTCTTATTGCAGTCATTGCTGTTCCAGACTATGCAACTTTATTTCTAGTGAGAGGATGAGAAGCTTGTAATTACAAATGAAAGAGGCCCAGACAAGCATCCTTTAAGGGCATGTGTCTGAAACCCAAACACTAGTACTGCCAGGAACCTCTTTTTCTATTACCAGACTGTCCAGTTTATAGAAAAGGCCAAGTGAACACTCAAACTTCTCCACAACTCCTTTCTCACAGAGTGCAACTCTCTGTCTCTACCTATCAGCCTTGACACTGAGGCAGCCCAAACTCCTCAGGGATCATCTAGACCCTGGAATGTTGTCTACTGTCTACTCTGTTAACTAGCATGGATAACAGGAAAGAGTGAGGACACCATGCCCATGTACTGTTGAAAGAGAGATAGTCCCAATCAATCCCTTGTGTCTTCTGGAGATCATCACTACTGTCCAGTGAGGAGAAGCTCACCAAAGTGCATGCTGGGAAGACCACTTGCAACTTGTTCCTCAGCTAGGAGCCATGTGGAGGCCCAGGGAAGCCAGGGCATCTCTAGTGCTCTTCCTCCACAGCTATTTCCATGGGCTGTGGCAAAGCTGAGTGCGCCCCACATTGTCTTCCTTTTTTGTGTAGCTTCACAGTCTAAGATTCCAAATGTTCCTCCCACACTACATCTCAAAGGGAGCCCCAATTTCCTGTGGGAACACAGCCATATGTGCCTGCTCTGGAGCTGAAGTAATTTCAATTTTGATTCTTTTATAATGGAAATGAAGCTAACTGGGTGGGTACAAATGAACTGAGAGTTATTTAAAACCTCTAATACAGTGACTCCAGTAAAATGTAAGCATGCTGCCAATTGCACAGGACAGATCTTACATCTAGTTCTGTTAAGCTGCCGGCTTCCACAGAACAATAGTGGCTTTTTATACATTGGGTGCTAGCCTTCATGTATGTGGAAATGGAGGAACTTGGGGAGATAAATGATGGGAAGATAAAATGTATTCAGAAGCCAGAAGTGATGTAAGAGAAGTGTTGTAATAATACTATGGGGCTCTGAGTCTCTCTAACTTCCCTCAGGTACCATAGCACATTGTGAAGCCTTGCTGCACAAGGCTAAGGCAAGAAAGAAATGTGGTGGAAAGGTTCCTTGGGAGCAGGATCCCTCCAGCTGCCTGGGAGGTTGCCTGAATCCTTTGTGTAAATGAAACAGTGAAGATCTTGTAGTCATTTTTCTAGTCCAGCACATCTATAGCTGGTTGGGGAAAGAAGAGGTAGGAAAGCGCCAGCCTGGCATTTTCAGAAAGGGACTTAGTGGGTTATCAGCCACCATGGGCCACTTCTCACATTCCATCTTCTTTCCTCCTCCCCACCTGCTGTTCTCCTCACTCTACACCCAATTTCTCAGGAGAGAATGGGATCCTGTCTGCCACTGTTCTTACATTTTCTCATTTTTTTTAAACTATCTATTATGTTAGCAAGTTGGACTGCCATAAATCACTTACTGGTAGCCAGACTAATTGCTCAATAGACATAAATTTAAAATCCCCAGTGATGGCACTTTCCTTTAATCCCAGCACTCAGGAGGCAGAGGCAGGTAGATCTCTGTGAGTTCGAGGTCAGATTGGTCTACAGAGCGAGATCCAGGACAGTCAATGACAGCAAAGGCTACACAGAGAAATCTTGTCTTGAAAAACTAACCATCCAACCAACCAACTAAAACAACAAAAACAAACAACCAACAAAAACCAACCAAACAAACAAACCAAAAACAAACAAACAAACAAAAAAGCAACAACCCCAAATCCTCAAGCTAGGAATCTTGAAACAAAGGAAAAAGGACTGATGGTAAAAGGAAAGACATATGCTCAAAAAGACAGAATGAAGTCAAGTAGCTAGCATGCCACCACGCAGGAAATAGATAGGAAGTAGCATTTGAAGTGAGTTTAGTAAGAAATAGGTAGGAAGTTCATATCTTTTTAAAGACTCATTTTATTTTTTAAGTATGTGTATGTGTGTACATCTGTGTGTGGGTATGTACATTTTAGTGCAGATGCCCATAGAAGCCAGAGGTGTTGGATCCTCCTGCTTGATGTGGGTGCTGGGAACCAACCCCAGGTCCTCTGCAAGAGCAGTACATATTAACTGCAGAGCCATCTTTCCAGCCTCTAAACTTGGTTATTTTTGATGCTTTAAATACAGATGTTAAAAAGGCTTAATTTTTGTGTGATAAATAAAACCTTTATGTCAAAGTGTTTCTCTGGCTTAAAGGGCAGATCATCAAACCATGAAGGGGTCAGGAAGGGCAGGACTGAAGGGGATGTTTTCTCCTGATGCTTAGGAATCAGAGATGTCCCATAGAAAATTCAACTGTCAACCGCATACCTACCATCACAATCAGAACCATCAATAACCCTTCACGGAAATCATGTTGAGAACAGAAATCAAAACCTATTTCTCAGAAAATGCAAGGAAAAATGAATCTAGAGATGAAGTTCCCAAAGGAGAGAATGCCCATTCTCTCAGAGGAGCAGACAGCCTGATAGCTATGCATACATCTGTGCTGAGCCCTTCTTATGCTTGGATGATCTTTTCAGAACAATCATACAGTGGTGGTACATCCAACTGTCCATCAGAAGTTAGCTCAGCATGCAATTCTGACTCTAGCCATATCCAGCTCTCAGTTAGGCAGAATCCAAACCTGACTGAACACTAGTTAGTTGAAAAGGTAGTTATTTATATGCACATCAAATGGCAAAGTTTTCTATTCGGAGTTAACATAACTACCTGAGGATCTATCCTCAGTGAAAATTTGAGTAGACAGGACAAAGCTAAGAAAGGGGAAAAAGATGAGGAAGTACTAGTAACTGTATAAAACTCTAAGGTAATGCTCTGCCCAGAATCATGTCTGAATCTTTAATGAAGTAACTTCCTTACTTTAAAAAAATACGGCCTGAACCTCATGCTTCCATTGTTTTATAGGAGGAAAAAAAAAGCATGTAACTTAGAAGTCATTAAACACTACATAGAATATACCAAACAGTTATAGCTTCCTTTAGCCTGTGAGCAATACTGTGTACTCTGATGACTGCGTGTTTTCCAAGAGTTACTAGTCTCCTCTTACGAACTTTATCCTTCATCCCAGATAGATGTTCTCTCAGGAGGCCATCTCAAAAGATCAAGGAGCATGATTGTCACTTTGTCCCACTGTTCCAATCTCTGTTCTTTTCAGTCAGAGATCTACCTGGTGGACTCCAGTGGCTCTCAACTCCAGTGCAGTCAACATTCCCTCCTTACCTTTGATGCCCGGAAGGAGAACGCTGTGGACTTGGTGTCCGATTTCCCCCGGTCTTGTAGAAGAAGGCCTTGGTCTTCTGTCAAGGCCAGGTAGTGGCCTGTGGTAAGATGCCGGAGTCGGAAAGCCTGGCCCCACCTGATGTTGCTGCCGCTCCAGCTGGTGAAAAGCACATGAGAAATTGTATTTACACAGAAGTCAGTACTGTTCAGCATTTATCCTGTACTTTATTAAACCCCAGAGTTATGCCCTCTCTGGGGTTTATCATTAAGGGTCAATGAACTGATCTCTGTTTGCCTAGAACTTAGCACAGTGCTTTCCTCTGACTCCTCTTAAAGGCAAGGACCATGATCCTGATGGCAGGGCAGTACATACTATGACTGGAAGTTCTGAGTTTCAACCTATCATTCAGTCTACCAATATGCAAACCACCTCAAAACAATGGTATGATCTCATTTCTAGGAACACTTGTGTCTAGAAAACCAGTCTTTCCACTTGGTTATTGGAACTCAAATATTGCACCATCATAAAGAGTCATGTCTTCATGACAAACCACAAAACAAACAAAACAAATCAAACCTGCAACTACTGCAGGTTATGCCTCCAGGAGAGACAGGTAGTAAGGGATGAGATAAGGAAACAGACATTCTGGTACATTCAAAGGAGATATGTCCTGCAGGAAAAAGTAGAGTAGGATTGCATGAATGAGATAAGAAAAACCTCAGGTGGAGTGTCAGTCTTTTCATGGCCTACTGTGGATGATTGATTGATAAACGCTGATTGGCCAGTAGCCAGGCAGGAAGTATAGGCAAGACAAAGAGAGAGGAGAAGTCTGGGAAGTGGAAGTCTGAGGCAGAGAGACGCTGCCAGCCACTGCAATGAGGAACAGGATGTAAAGTACCGGCAAGCCACAAGCCAAGTGGCAAGTGTAGATTAATAGAAATGGGCTGGGTTTAAGTGTAAGAGCTAGAAAGTGGTAGGCCTGAGCTAATGGCTGAGCAGTTTAATTAATATGAGCTTCTGAGTGATTATTTTATAAGCGGTTGTGGGGTCCATGGGGCTGGGCAGGACTGGAGAAAACTCCAGCTAGGGGCTGGAGAGATGGCTCAATGGTTAAGAGCACTGGCTGCACTTCCAGAGGACCTGGGTTCAATTCCCAGCACCCACATGGCAGCTCACAACTGTCTGTAAGTTCAGATCTCCAGGATCTGACACCTTCACACCAATGCATATAAAATAAAGTTAAAATAATTAAAAAAAAAAAAAAAAAAAAACTCCAGCTAAAAATGGCGCCCAACTGGTTGGCAAGAGTTTCCACCTAAAACCTGAGAAAAAGATTCTAAAATGGAACTAAAAACAGCTTCCTGTCTCACTCAAGTTAGCGGCAGACTACAGCTTTGAGCTACTCTATGGTGGGTTCGTGACGTGCGGGCTTGACCTACGCTATGTTACACAGAGGTGTCTCCAAGATGAACACTATGCTGTGTGTTGGATATAGTTTTTGCTAGTTCAAAAAAAAAAAAAAAAAAAAAGGTTTCTGGGCTGCTTTGATAAAAGCATAGGCCCACTGTTTCTAAGAGTTGATGGCTCCCAGAGCTGGCAGTAAATGTACCACACTGCCATGTTGGGAAGCTGCAGTTTAAAGCAATAGGTTCACAATAAGACAGATTCAGATGGAATAGTTTACAATATGTGTAAAAATGTACGTAGACTTGAAAGAGAGAGAGAACAAAAATATATACAGTTATACGCAGTTATATAAAGAAATAGATAGTTTTAAAAAATAAAGTCTTTAAAGAGAAAGTAAAGGTAATACAAAAAATAAGCCATGTAAAGATGGATATCACACAGAGAACCTGCATTGTATTGTTTTTGGGATTCTTAACTGCAGAAAGACATTTGATTGTAAAATTGTAAAATCTTCACCAAAAGATTAGCATTCAAAATATGGTAACCATTAGGGGAGAAATTATCCATGGTATCATTAGTAACTCAAAATTTATCCTTGAAGTTAGATTACCATATCTGTGTCAAACTTTAAAATCATTATACACCTTTTCAATTTTTAGGAACACCTGAAAATCACAGGAACACATCCAAATCACAATGATAAAAGACCTAAACTCTTTATGCCTAGGTGTCTGATGTAAAGAGCTAACAGCTACAACTATGACAGTATGTATATACCTACTTTGACATTTGAAAGGCCTCTTAAGAAGTCTTGAGCGAGTGAATAAGTGGGTGCCTCATTAAAAATAAATCAGTATTTCTCACACACAGATACACTATTATGTATATATTTTTGTTTTTTACTTATACAACAGTGGTACACTCCAAATCAATATCTTCAAAAGCTTCTCAATAAACTATGTAAATTAGGCAAAAAGGGAGAGGGAGGTGTAGGAGAATTCCCACTACTTCCTTTTCATCTCTAGCAGACCTTCTTGGGAGGTAAACATCTCTCATGAGAAAGAATTCTCCTTTGAACACATGTTTAGGGAAACATTGGCCTGAGTTCTAGGGAGGAAATGGAGAAGCAGCAGCAGGTGGCGACATTAATTCTCTCCTCTCTTACCTCCACTGTTTAACTCTAACTCAACTTACCTATCTTCCCAGCAAATAAAAGGACTTGTTCTCAATCAGACCGGCCTTCAGTATTTAGAGTTTAAAAGACAAGTTACTCAAGCTTTAAAAGCTGTTACTCAAGCTCATGGTTAGAAAAATCAGCCTTTGTTCCTTCCACCTACGTACATTACTGTTTGAAATATTCTGACAAATGTTGTTTTCTTCACAGCTATGTGAAGTTTGAATCTTATTTTACTAACTGCCATCATGACTACCTGTCTATCTTTGTTGTTTAAAGATAGCTCTTAACTGGAGCCAAGACATCCACTGACGGCTTCCAGAGAATTTGTTTAATTAAATAAGGAGCAGGGGGTGGGGTGGTGGGGTGGGGGTGGGGGGGGGGGTGGGAAGCTTTGAGGGTTTTAGCTGGTAATGCCAGAACTATAATTTGATTACCCAGGCTTTATAAGAACAGGATGCAATCAACCTTAGAATCAAAGTAGGAGCCTGGAAATATCATGAGAGTGAGAAATTCAGTCTCCCCCCTTCTCTGTGTGTGATTCCTTATAATCAAAGCCATAGAAATTTCAGAATTTAGCTCTCAACCATGGACTTTTGAGGGTTCATCTCAAGATACATAACAAATGGTAAATATAAGAGAATGGACTGTACTGGAAAACCAACCACTCTTGCAAATGGCACCATCTGTGCCATGTGTTACCTTATCCGAAGAGGTTCCACTCTCCACAGAGACCTGGCTCTGGTCCCAGCTCCTCCAGCTTCATAGAAAACTCTCCTGTGAGCAGAGATGGAGATCAGCACTAGTTGTGGGACAGCCCCTTTCAGGGGAGGACCACACCAGCTGTCTAAGCCTCCCAAAGTCAGCAAAACTCAAAGAGAGGATTGGCTGTGGGTTCTTATCTCTACTCTTAGGACAAATAAAAGTGACTTAAAGGGAGGGAACTGCACCCCACATGCAACCGACACTCATGGGTCACCAGAGAGACAGTGGAAAAAGGGATGCCAGTGTCTCCCATTTCTTCATTGCTACAAGAGCCCGGTTGCATACTGTGTTGCTGATAAAGAATGCTGCAAGCCTTTCAGGTTAGGCTTCTCATTGTAGTTTACATTTCTTATAAATGGATTTTTACTTTCAAAACACATATGCACTATAGTGCAAATCCCTTGTCATTGTTCTGGGGAGCCTGGATAAAGTTGTGTCTCCAGCTGCCATAGTTTCCATGGTTTCATTATTGAATGGTTTCTTTCTTCCCAGCTTAAGAACTATATTTTAATATGCTTGTAAATAATTTTTGTTTTGGACTAATTTTAGATTCATGAAGGAATTTCACAAACAGTCCACAGAGTTCCTGTATAGTGTCACTCCATTCCCCTCACAATGTCATCTTGCATCATCGAGATATGTTTGCCTAAACTGAGAAGCCAATGCTTGTAGCCAGTCAGGGTACTCAAACTCAACACCTTATTCATATTTCATCCAAAAATTTCCAATAGTTATTTTCCTGTTACAGGGCGTGATCTAGAGTGCCACAGTCGAGGCTAGGCTTGTCTTCTTTACTTGCTGTCACAGTGTTTCCCACTTCTCCCTTGTTCTCTTACCACTCAGAATTTTGAGAAGTACAGTATTATGCATGCATGCAATGCACACATTTGTGTGTGACTATATATAACTGTGCATGTGAAGAAGCCAGAGGAGGATGTGGGATGTCTTGTTTGGAGACCTTTCAACACTGATCATTTACCTGCACTTGAATTCACCAGTCTTACATCCTACCTCTGTCATAGTTTGTCTATGTCACAAAAGTGAATTATTCAAAGCTTCAGAAGAATTTGGACCTAGATTTTAGGAAAAAAAAACCTTTAACAGTGATGAAGAGGAAATAGATATGTCCCCCATGGTGAAATAGACTGAATTTGTTCAAAAGATGCACATTAAAATGGAAGATAGCTATATTTGGATCTGTTAGTACTATGAACTAGGGAAAGATCTGTCAGTTCTCTGTGGTTCAGTTCCCTCATCTATAAAACAGGCCTAATAAGGGTAGTTATATCATGAGGTGTAAAAGACTCAATGTGATTTTTAAAACAATGTTTAAAAAGAATGTTCATGGACACACAAAGAACTATGAAATACAGATTTATCCAAATTTTGTTTAAACATAGATATTTATAAATATGCTTAGAAGAACACATTAAAGCACATGGATACAATAAAATATTACATTAAGCATGGTTACATCATCAAGGTGAGGTTATAAAGGACATTTCTAAGCCTTGTTTTAAATGTATATTCTACCAGAAAATACTTAGTAAAGAAAATTCTATACTAATTTATAGCCATAACTTCTAGGTGTCTATGTACCTGGCCAAGAATGGAAATGCTACTCTACCAACTTTGCCACTCACACAGATTGACTGAGATTTTCACTGGCGCATCTCTGCCTTCAGCAAAGGCTGAAAAAAAAAGTAGAGGTGAAGTGGCCCACCTTGGGTCTCAACCGACCCCGCCCTGGAGCTAGCATCAGAGGACCCTCTAAGGCCAGCTTCTGAAGTATACTTAAAGGTCTATTCTTCCTGAATGAGACATTCTTGCAGCTTGGACTGTTTAATCTCACCAGGTTCCCAAGGTTGAAACAACTTGTTCCTGAGATCGCAAATGACTGCAATAAGGATTAGAGTGGGTGGACAGCTGAGGTGCTTTTGAAAGCCTGGCTGACAGCCTAGCCTCAGCTCCAACAGGTCGAGTGACTTAGCCCAGGGCAGTTGACAAGTCAGAGGCACAGGCAAAAATCTGAGTTCAGAATGTGAGATTGTGGATCTTTAGTTTCCATTCTTGGGTAATATTTTCACCAAGCCTGCCTACCCTCAGGATTCAGACGGAAGAAAATCAATTTCATCTGGGGAGTCAGTACCATAGCTTAGCATTCTATCTATTTCCTGTTCCCTCACCACCCCTCTGATTTCATTGTTTCCAACAATTCTGGCCAGCTGAAGATTCCTTTTTTTTTTTTCTGTTGTTGTTGTTGTTGGATAACAGACATCAATGAAGAGGCTTACCAGTCACAGTCCCTAGACATAAAAAAAATTCCAAGGCGTCTTGCCACCCTGCATTCATTGAGAATGCCAGAAAATTTCAAGAATTCAGGCTCCAAAGGACTCAATAGTAGCTTCTTTGCTCAGTCAGCCCCTCATACTGCCTTGCAAAGGAAAGAGACAAGTGTGTCTTCTCATTTTTTTTTTTTTGGTAACATAGTAAGATATAAAACCAACAATAAGCCAGACATATAATCCCAGAACTGAGAGGCAGATGTAGGCTGATGTCTGTGAGTTGAAAGCCAGCCAGATTTACATAGTGAATTCTAGGCAAGAACTATATAGTAAGACCCTTTCCTAAAAACAGTAGTAGTAGTAGCAGCAGCAGCAACAGCAGCAGCAATAAAAACCACTAAAATCAAACCAATACAAAACAAAGATGAAATGGAAAAATATCCTGCAACTGAATAAGATCACATGACAATATTTAGGTAGTGATCTGTAATCCTAAGAGAAATCAGGTCAACTTTGTAGACATCACCATCAGCCACTGACCATGATTAAGGACGCAGGGAGTAATTCACTCACAACAATTATATAGATCTATGTTCAGCGTGTTTTGGACTCTGTTCTATGTCACATCTGGCTCCCGTGAAGGACATTCAGAGGACCTAACAAGCAGGAAGGGACATACTATAAGAGGCTCAAATCATTGGAGGAAAGTTTCTGCAGTAATACATTCAATTACACTGCTTCTGGGTTCTTCAGCACGTGGAATAAGAAATGAGCCCTGATGGAAAGCCGACAAAAATCTGGCTTTCTAGGCTCCCATCTGAAATCAGTCAGGATGTCACCACTGGCAGAAGTCTGATCAAGATGATCACCAAACTGTCAAGTTTTAGCCCTAATGTTACCAATAAAGTAAAATCAATGTAGTTGAAAAGGATCTTGTAAGCACGACAAAAAGACAAGAAACTGCTGTCACGAAATCAGACTAATTACTGTCAAAATTACGCTGAATTTGGATGAGAGGTTTTTTATTTAATATATAAGACTTGTACAGAGCATTTTATATACTCTTCCTTTGATTATAAGCAAAATAGTAATAAATCTTAAGTATATATTTATTGTGTGGGTTAAAATATCCTCCATTTCATAATTTTGAATATTTTAGAAACTTTTTACTGAAAAAAAATCACATAATATATTTGATATCCTTTCCCCTACTCCAAACTCCCCTCAGATCCTCTCCACTTCCGTACCCATCCAACTTCATGTTCTTTCTCTTATTCTCTCTCTCTCTCTCTCTCTCTCAAAAGTATAAACACACAGGAAAAACAATAACAGAACAAAAATGAGAATCAAAACAGAAAAACTAAAGAAAATCAGTATGAGGGAAAAAATACAAAAACATAACACAAAGCACATGCACAGAAAAACCATGTAGTATCCCTTACTACTATTAGTATATTGATTATTATGCTAGAGGAACATAGCAATAAAATGACCCCTAATAGTGCTATACCCATAGAGCAGAGCAGAGCTCAACCCTCATCAGAGAAGCTTCTTCTTGCAGTATATGGGAATAACAAAGAGATCCACAACTGGATCCTTATCAAAACCATCCCCGTCAAGGTTCAGCGATCTCTGCAGAAGAGGAGGCAGAAAGATTGTAAGAAGTAAGGGGTGCTGGATAACTTCAAAGAAACAGTGTCCTCTGGACACAGCAGGGCTGATTCACATAATTTTGAACCTTTAACAAGAGCCCATTAATCGATCGGCTATTGGACTAAAGAAAGTTCACTTCAATACTACCTCTAGCTAGCTATATTCCTCCACACTGCTCCCTGCTAAACCCATCTTCCGTTGGATTCCGATGCCTAGTTTCTCCCAGTGAGCTGGTAACAAGAAAAATGAAACCAACCAACTCTATCTTAATTACTTAGTACACAAAGTGGGAGGGACAGAGGTAAGCTGTCTTGCAAGGACCAGCAATAACTTGCGCAAACACACAGCCTCCCAAAATGACAGATTTCCCTCACCAACGGGGTGCTTCAGACTCAGGAGCAATCAAAGACAATGAATGGCTTGGGATACATTGTAGCATTGTTTGCTTAGATTGAATGTAAACACACCACTTTTTTTTTTTTTTTTTTTGTGAGCAAACACTACTGTCTTGCCATTCCTATTTAACAAACTGGAGCTGTGGTTAGATGAAGATCAGGCCAACTGAGAAATACCTACACAGTTCATGTGTGGTCAAATGAGAATGCAAACTCTTGAATATGAGTCGCCAGAGACTACAGACAGCTCAGAGAAAAAAACGAGGACAGCGGCTTACCTGTGCTGAGAATCATTCTGGTCTGTAGATGGTATCGTCAAACACTCATCATGACCATGGAAAAGACGAACTACGTGCCCACCAAGTAGGTATCCTATGAAAGAATGGTATTCTACTATAAACTGACGGAAAGCGTAAAGAGAACACTGTGTTCAGTGGTGGTAAATTCATGCAGGTCATAGATGATTCTAGCAAACAGCAAGAGAGGTGCATTTGGAAAACTATAGAGTCCATGAATTCAGGCCTCAGGGAGAAAAGAATTCTAACATTGGCAGTTAAGTAGAATTTCAGAAATAAGGCTAACGATCAAGAGAAAGGTAAAACCACTGTGTCAACTGTTATCATTAAAAAACAAAAGGAAAATTACTGTTGGGAAGAGCAGGATTTTCCAGTTTCTTAAGAAGCTAATAACTCAGTATCAAAATGACCAGAGAAGTTCTTACAATCCTAGTGTGTGCACTCTGTGGCAAAATCCAAATCAAATTATAGATACGCGTAGAAATGACCTGGAATGGGGGGACAATCCCTTTTCAAGAGTTGTTTAGGAAAAGGCAATTGAGCTGCTTTAGGAGAAGGTAGTTTTTAAATGTAGTTAACAAATACAGATAAAATTTGATAATGCATCTATAGCAAAAAGTGGGAGGAGGCAGAATTACTCCAGCATGTCTGAGTGGACATGCACACTAACTGCTATCAACAAGCGCTTAGATTTTAGCAGAGAAAAACCTCAACAGTCATGGAGTTCAGATGCTCAAAAGAAATAATGAACTTCAAGGGCATGATGACCCACTGGTCTTCAAGTGAATTCTAAGCATTAATTCGAAGAGCATACTAGCAGGAGACAGGCCTGGCTGGGCTAGATTTGCACAAAAAAATTGGATTTGTTATTCTTCTGAATTAAAAAAAATCACTAGGCTACCCTGTTCTTAGGAGACATATGAACTTAATATGCTCCATGTCTGTATTTGGAGTTTTTCTTTTTAAATTACATAATTAGAACACTTAGGGGGCTATCTCAAACTATTCTGGATGCTGGATTAAAACATCAATGAGAAATCCTGCTAGATGGGAAACTGGTGTTCTCAGAGCATATTGGGCAGTGATGGTCCGATTTTCCTTAGCTTGTTTCTTTTTTATTTAGGCAAGGAAAGATTATCTTAAACTCCCCTCAAATATTCACAAGTATTTTTCTAATAGCTAATTATACTAATATGTACAGTTGCATTTTTTTGCATTTGAATAATTCATGATGCACTGAAGGGAATTCTTAGTAGCCAATTTACATAGAAAATTAAAAACTTCAGCCATCAAGCCCTTGATTAAACTCTTTATCTTCTCTTGGTGGTGAGACTATGACCATTAAGAGTCCATCATGAATAGTTTGTGGGCTTTTTCAATCAATATCCTCCTCATCTGAGCAAACGGCTAAATGCTGGTGCATTACAACTTTTCTTAGCAGAACTCTCTCTCTCTCTCTCTCTCTCTCTCTCTCTCTCTCTCTCTCTCTCTCTCTCTCTGTGTGTGTGTGTGTGTGTGTGTGTGTGTGTGTGTGTGTGTGTGTATGTGTGTGTGTGTGTATGTGTGTGTTTGTATGGGTCACAGTCAGGAAGAAATTATGGAAAGGAGGACCACTGAAGTCCATAAGGGCAGGGTGGGTTTCTCCCCTGTGGATGTTGAATGGCCATTCTCCACCCAGCTCTGTGACTGAGCTGATGAGCTCTTCCAATTTCATGCACACAAGGGCACTCAGCACTTCTGTGAGAACCATTTGACATGATTTGCAAACACTCCTTAATTAATCTCCACAAGCTCTCTGTTGGGACTGAGATAAATTTATTTTTGTGGTTGAAGATGAAACATTTAACACAGAGATGGGGCTGAAACTTTCTAGGGAAGGATTTAAGACAGGGAGTCTGGATTCCTTAAAGCAGGGAAAGACTGAATAGATTTAAAGAGGTGAATTGATGTTTGTATGTATATGTGTATATGTGTTTGTATGTGTATTGATGTGTGTGTGTGTGTGTGTGTGTGTGTGTGTGTGTGTGTGTGTGTGTGAGTGAGATACATATGAGAGAGAGAGAGAGAGAGAGAGAGAGAGAGAGAGAGAGAGAGAGAGAGCGCACCCAGAGCTTGGCAATGCTGAGCAAGTGTACTATCACTGACCTACAGCCCCAGCAAATGTCTGATTTTTAAAGGCCTCTCATATACTACCAGGAAACTTAAGGTTTGTCACTTCCCAATCATTTGGCTTAACTGTGGTACCTTCTGAAACTGGGCTGTCACCTTGACAACTCTCATTTTCCTGTTTTCAAACATCACAGCTCAGAAGAGCATCTCCAGTTTGAAACTATGAGGCTCAGGAAGAAAACTAGGGTTAAAGCCTGTAATAAGACTATTCATAAAAATTCAGATCTTTCTGTAATGTGCTAGAATGGAATGCAATAACCCTTGGGTCATTGGCATTTTGTTTTTCTGCTCAGCTGTGGTATTACCTATGAGTGAGGTAAGGCCAACGTGTTTGTTACATAACCTGTAAAGTGCATTGACTTTGCCTGTCTCCAAGAAATAGGTTACAAAAACAAAGTTGGATGACCTTATTTCCACAGAAAGAATTTAATGCTGAGAAAATTTCATTTATTATATTAAGGGGTGTTCCACAAAGGTAAGTAAAAATCAAAGACCAATTATATATTTATTATAAAGGAAGTTCCTTCCTTCTGTGGAGAAAGGCATGGGATGGCACGGAGAATAAGCCATGTTACCTTTCTGGCAAATGATCTCTTCCAAGAGGGACGTTTCTGGGCTTATTTACTTACCAATAGTAAGCATGAATAAAAGTGAAAACTTGGTGAAAGAGGGAAGGTGTATATCCAAGTTCTGTGTACTTGTAGTGATAAACTAACTATGGGTACCAAAGAATTAAAGACAAGCTTAATGATGCCCATGGGGAGTCCGAATAGAAAATAATATATACTAACACCAGAGAAAGAAAGTAGGAGAAACAAAACCATACTGTATGTGGAACTCGAAACAGCAGACAATGTTGACATCCACAGCCCAGAGGGAATGTCAGGCTCAGGGCTGACTGCATTACAAAGGCCTACCTTCTTCGATGCTACTTCCCGAACACGTAGGATGTACATTCCAGAGTGTTTGCATGAAGGAGGCATCCACTTGTATGTTACCATTTGATATTGATAGATGCTGCAGTGGGAAAAGAAGTGAAATCTTCCTTTAAACCACTAGTCCAGTCCTGTCAGAGCTTCCGACTGCAATGTCAAGGGTTACGTTAAACAGCATCCGTGTTCTGTGGTTCTTTCTACATAGCCTGTGTGGGAGCTTTCTTTACTCAGTCTTGAAGCAGCTTCATATCTAGCTCTGTATTCCAGGAAGAAGGAATTTGCAGCCACAGAGGTGGCAGACAAGCATTAACCTTGTCACCCCAGCTGCGACCCTGACTCTACACACTTACAAAATGTCTATTTTTTTGTAGGATAAGAAAACCCACAGATGGGAAAAAAAAAATTACTTCAACATTTGGAGAAAGCAAGGAGAAATCAGCTGGCAGGGTTGGCCCTGTGAGAAACTGCTGAAAAGTTTAACACCTATCTTTGACATTTCTCTATCTTCAGGCATCCCCACTCTGAGCAGAGCTTGCCTGGTACCTATACTCAGATTAAAGACCTCATATGCATCTATCACCTTCTGTAATACCCCCTGCACTAACATTTTACATTTTTTTCTTTCTGTACCGAAAGCTTATTTTTCTGTATTCTTTTTGCTATGTTGTATTCCACTTGGCAAGAGCCAAACAATGAGATAAATTCATAGTAATGTGTCTTAATTCATCTTAGCAGCATTTGCTCAATACTATACAATGATCTAAAGGAAAGCTAACAGCTAAATTCCAGGCACTATGGAATCCCCTAGGCCTTGTAGGGGAGAGACATCTTGTTATACTCAGCCTGCCGTGGCTCCGTTTCCCTTGGCCACCTGTTCCTAAAAGGGTCATTCTGAAAACAAAAGATGCTCCTGTTGAGAGGTACTTACAAGGTATCTTTCAGAGGACACACTGACGAGGATAAGGTCATCTCCAATTCGTACTTTCTCTCCTTCAGACCTCTGTTTGGAAGCAGGATGTATGGTCCACCAACAGGCCTCTCCTACATAAAGGCTTCGTGAGTTAGCCTCTGTGTCCCAGAAAGCAGTGATCCTAATTCTGCCCCATATTCCTTCCTGGCGACACACCTCTCCCTTCTTCCCAACTCTCTTGGCTTCAATTTCTATTCATCTACAACCAGCCTTGTTGTCTAATGTATGCTCTAGCCTATATTTTTTCATTTTCCATAATGACAGAAAAACACAATTTGGGAAAGATTATTGGAGGTCAGTAACTACAGAAGTCTGAATATTTTAACAGATGTAGGACATGATTTTTTTTCACACTGCCTTTTATATCTTTTAAGAATTGATTTCAAAATATGTTTTGGTGGTACATGTGGAAGCAAGAAGACCAGAAGTTCAAGTTTGCCCTTGGCTTAATGAGTTTGAGGACCTCAACCCTTGTCCCCACAGAAAGGGGGCCTTGAGGACTCTATTTCATTGACATACTGAGCATTTTAGCAATTTTATCTTTCTTCTTCACTTTCTATGAAATGTGCTAAAACAATAGTAAAGAGAATTCTTGTTTGATTCTTAAGGCTCAAACCTGTAAGAATTAAAACAGCCTAACACATGTGGAAATATATGTACTGAGGAAGAAAAACTGTTATGGGGGTGGGAGTGGGGAATGGCGATTTAAAATACCACAATGGAGAAGAAGCCACTGCCTTAAAAGTACACCCTGCTATGAATAGATTCCAGCAGAAAAACTGCTTGGGCTGGAGGTAAAGATGGGTCGTAAACAGGAAGAATGGCTAAAAGGTTTCGAGGACATTTAAGCCCAAGATCCCCTCCCCATCCCACACAAGCAAATGCCTCTTCCGCCCCCAGGCTACAGAATTCATGGAGTTGCAAACCACCAAGGGTCTGGTCTTGGAAATACCATAAGATACCGCCAAATAAGAAAGTGGAGTCCTGCTGAGAGCAGATAACTAGAGTTTCTGTGTGATTAGACATACTCCCACTTCTCTCCCTTTGCTTCTACCCTTCAGCTTCTAGAATGCCATCTGCAAAGCTGAGTGATGTTTACTAGTCCTCAGATTTGAGGACTGCTTTTTAGAGAAGCCAAAACATACTAAAGGTAAAAGCTACCAGGGTTTGAGATTCTCATCTTAAATGCTCAGGGCTCTAAAAGGTAACTCCAGAGTAAGTACTAACAGATGCCAAGCTACAACCCAGCTTCCCACCAGCTTTTATGACCTTGACTTGAATATGAGCAAAGACAAAAGGTCATGTTGAATTTGAGGAGGGCCTCTAACATTGATATCAGGAAACAAACAAATAAATAAACAAAAATGGTGGAGGTAGGGCAGGAACTAAAAATATCAAGATTGCAGAGAACAAAAACTTTAAGTAATTTTACAAGTAACAATCTTAAAAAAGAAAGAAAATATACTCAGAAAGTATCTGAAGATTCCTTTAAGAGAGAAAGAAAATTACTCCAATTCTGAACAAAACCAAAATAATTACAGACAGTTGGAAAGTCTTCCAAAAAGAACACAGAAAAATAGTTTAGAAATGAGAGAGAGAGAGAGAGAGAGAATGAATGAATGAATGAATGAATGAATGAATTAGATTTGAGCAATGGTGGTCCAGGTTTTTAATTCCAGCACTCAGGAGACAGAGGCAGGAGGATTGCTGATTGAGGCCTGCCTGGTCTACACAGAGTTCCAGGGTGACACAGTGAGATCTTATCTTGGAAAAAAAAAGAATTAGAATTTGAGAGGAAGTGAGAGGAGGGGTTGGAAAGAAAGGACATGTGAGGGCTTTGAAAGGGAAAAGGAAAATATTTTGATTAAAATAAAATTCTAGAAAACAATCTAGAGGAATCCCCAGGAAGCAAGAATAAAGAGTATTAACAAAGAAATAATATCCCTAAAACTTTCCTGGTGCTGGACAGCAAGCATCTGCAAATAGAAAAGGTCCCAGAGTCTCTTGCATAGTCAAGCATCCACCCTATCCTGCATCCTCCTGAGACTGCACAACAGAGAGAATCCACAAGACACACTGTGGAATTTCAGACATTAGAGATAGAGAAAAAGAGTTTTTAGAAAGGAAAACAGTCACACACAAAGCATCAGGAATCAGAACATGTTTGTCTCAACAGCCAGTTTGTCTCAAAAGCCTGTAGGAAGCCAAGAAAAAATACTTTTAATACAGAATTAAACTAAACTATGAATTACTTATGAAGCTAAGATGAACAAACCTTCAGATAATTTGGTACCTGCATGCATCTTTTCTGTGAAAGCTACTGTGTAGTGTGGTTTGCTGAAATAAAATAGTAATCTGTGGTGTAGTGAAGAAGCAGCAGAAGCTAGAAGAGGCAAAGTGAAGTCCTCGGGTGATGATGGATATTTCTAAGAAGATGAAGAGATAATGTGACTGATCCTAATAATCCAGGGACATTTTTTGGGTCAGTGGGAAAGCTTGGAAGTGAATCCATGATTCAGCCACAGAAGACAAAACAAACCTGACTATAATATATCATGTGGGTTATTTACAAATATGTGATAGTAGTTATACCAATGGAAGTTGTTGGTTTAGTTTTTGCATAAAAACAAACATGAACAGATTGAGAATGCAAGGAAGAAGGACAGTGAAAAGTAGACTGTGAGAATTAAACTTTATCAGGACGTGAAAAGATAAAACCTAATCCGGAAAGAATCAATGAAATGGCAGTATATACACAGTTTTCATAAACAGTAGCAAGCAATACTAGAAGAGCTGAACACAGGTCCCTGAGGCAGGAATCTAGAGTAGGGAGCAGATATTTTCAATAAACATCGAAGTGCCACTTATCTATTAAAATTATGTATAGGTATTTGACTACATTTAAAAATGCATTACAAAAGAATATGACTTGTACATTTGAGGTAAAATTGATCAGACTATCTGGTATAAACTCTGTGGGCCATTAGAGGGCATCCAGCATGAAGAGCATCATGAACAGACACACACAAAATAGAGAGAGACACTTCTCTGACACATCTCTTGTCCTTGGAGCTGTTCTCTGAACTCCTAGGGTGTGCTGGCCACTGGCTCCAAAACGCAGGGCAGCATTTGCAGCATCCTGTCCTCATGATTCTAAATTCTAAATCTATGTAAACATAGTAGAATCAAAACAAAACTTTAAAAGTGTGCAGAACTGAGCAACTAACTCAGTTGTACTGATTATCTAGCCTAAGAATTTATCGGTATGTAGGGGGAAAATCCAGACTTATTGATGAAATGTCCTCTACTATTTCTTCACACTTTCTCCTCAACATCCAACCCAGCTAAGGAGCAGCCTTCTAAAGAACATTTCCAGAATTGCTGGGTAAGGAACTAGGATTCTATCTCAGTGGATTCCATGTGACCCCCTCACCCTCATGATAGGTCTTATCCCATAAAACCCTGAATGTCGTTGGCGGAAGCCAGTACATTCTCCTGACTCAGGGAGAATATGAGCAGAGTAGGTCAAGGGTAAAAGAAAAGCAAATTACTTCAGACCCTAAATTTGCATGCAGCCAGTCATCTCTTTCCTACACGTCCACACAGATCATCTTCTGAGCAGCCACTTTGAACTTGGTCCAGCTCAAGCATCTACTAGGTCTGCTGTCACCAAAGTTCCTACTAATTCTGATCTCAGGGGCTCAGAAACTAACTTCTGAAATAAGTAAGAGAGTCTATTTGCCTCCTTTTCATTAGAGGCTCTAACAGTAAATTAGGTATATTACCTGAACTCTTTACTAGAAAGTGCTCTTTTTCTATTCCTTTGCAGATTTCAGAAAATACACCATCATTTCACTGCTATAAATAGAAGGACTGTATATGACTCTTCTGATTATATGCTCTAAGATTGGCATCTGGCTTATAGAGAGAGGCCAACTTACATTCATCGTGTGGCATTCCACTCAATTTGTAATTTTTTGCAATGATTGACAACATTTTAGAGGAAATTATACTTGAAGAAAAACACAAGGTAAAAACAAAGAAACCTCAAATCTAATTCACGTGTGATCTTCCTTTAGGGGGAAAAAGCTCACAGCAGTCAGAGATAGGCCCTGACTTCTCCTGTGTACAAAAGGAGAGGGCAGCCCGGTGCAGGCCACAGAAACAGCAGGTGCACGGTGGATAGGCTCCTGCATTGTTTTCTGATGATCACAAAGTCGGATAATCCGCACCCTTAACTGATACACCAGTCTCATTTTAGAACAACAGCATAGCCTTCTGTCCTTCTTTGGAGATGGAACATTGGCACGCCCCTCCTGTTAGGGGGAAATGCCATATCGTTAAAGACTATATTCCAAACAGAATTTCTGTAGTTCCCTAAGTGACTTTACTTCCCTGGTATCTCTTTCCACAGCCTGGTTAATTTTGAAGCTCTATTTTTAGTCCACGTTCTACTCAGTATCCTTCCAGCAAATCCTGCTCCACTTAAACCCACCAAAATCAGTTTCTGTTGCTTTCGACCACACTTTCTAATAGTATTCCTAATGGTAATAGCCCAAACTCTACCTGGAACAGAAATTCTATATGCAATGTGCTTGACAGATGATCAGACTGTCTATACATGTTTCCAGACACAGGGAACACGCTACATTCCCTGGCGAGCCATTCCTCTGCAGATATTACAAAGCATTTTCCTTCACTGAGGTAAAATATGTCTCATTTCAACTTCTATCCACTTCTCTGTTTGCCTTCAAAACAGCCCCCAGGAAACTGGTACTTTCTTGATAGTGTAACTTCTTACATATTTGTAGATAGTTTTCCTGGGCCTCTGTCCTTCATTTCTGGATTCCTGAAGAGTTGCTGTCATCTTGGCAACCACCTTTCTTTCTTTTTTTTAATTAAATTTTTAAAATTCATTTTACATATCAACAACAGATCTCCCTCTCATCCCTCCTCCTGTTCTCCCCCACCTCTCCCCCCATCTCCTTCTCCAACAGGGTAAGTTCTCTCATCGGGGGATAGCTAAGCCTGGTACATTCAGTTGAGGCAGGACCAAGTCCCTCCTGGCTTGGGCAACCACCTTTCTTATTTTATTTTTTATTTTTTATTTTATTTTATTTTATTTTTTTTTTTTTTTGGTTTTTCGAGACAGGGTTTCTCTGTGTAGCTTTGCGCCTTTCCTGGGACTCACTTGGTAGCCCAGGCTGGCCTCGAACTCACAGAGATCCGCCTGGCTCTGCCTCCCGAGTGCTGGGATTAAAGGCGTGCGCCACCACTGCGCCGGTTGTGGTGGGCAACCACCTTTCTTAGTACTGACTTCTACAGGGACTTGCTATATAGCTTAGACTGGCCTTAAACCTACTAAGTAGCCCAGGCTGACCTTGAACTTATGATTCTTCTTTCTCAGACTCCCTAGCATCAGGATCAGAGGCACGTACCACATCTGACAAATAACTTTATTCACATACATACATACACACAAAATGGAAGTGGTTTCCAATGTATTTGATGCTTTGTAGAAGACAAATGACATTGGATTATTTAGTGTGAAATTTAAGGGAAAAAAACCTCTCTTTGAACTAATTCTATCACAAAAGTTTTAAGTTTAGATCTAATATATTGACAATTCTTTATCATTTTCTCAATTATTTGATAATCGTTGTTGTTGTTATATACTTTATGGCAAAAAAAACCCATTTCTCTACTTACAGAGATAGGTTTTTGCTTAAAATACTACAGATAAAACTTTAGTAAATTTATAGAAAAATATACCATAATTATATGGGAGATACATTGGAATGCCAAAATTGAGGCTGGTGGGCATCACTGGCTGACCTTAGGGAAACTGACTTGGGAATGGCTTGTTTGCAGAATACAAAGGGCTCACTTCTCTAATCTAGACATATTTCATATTTCACTATGAAGCACTAATGAAGTTACTTTTACATGTTTTCTTAGCAGCTACTCAGTATCTACAGTTCTTACGAACTAAACTGTCTATTTCTAGTAGTAAGCCATTAAAACACTTTCCAGTACCCAGGCTTCTGCCATCGTGCCTTAGACTTCATGTTTTCATGTTTCATACATCCTTCCTTGAATTATCCTCACATTTCTTTTATCAGTGTTATCTTTTTTGACCTTGCTGATGTGGAATTCCAAATGAGTAACATATCCAGCTTCTTTCTCAAAAGTCCTTAGCTGCCAGGTGGTGGTGGCGCACACCTTTAATCCCAGCACTCGGGAGGCAGAGGCAGGCGGATCTCTGTGAGTTCAAGGCCAGCCTGGGCTACAGAGTGAGTTCCAGGAAAGGTGCAAAGAGAAACCGTCTCAAAAAAAAAAGTCCTTAGCACAAGATCCCACGGGCTGAAGCTAGGGATGACAACTTACCTGTGGCGTGTTCCCGCAGACCTACGTCAAAGGCAAGTTTATCTGTCTGGGATCTTGATGTGGTCAAGCATGTTAGATACTGTGGAACAAGAGCAGATGCTAGGAGTCATATCCTTCTATCAGGTCCTAGTACCACCACTAGTTAGCTTCCCATTAATTGAAAAAAAAAATCAGCTACTATGAAATATGCTCAGTCTTCTCCCTCATTGGAAAGTTAATGGACATCATACTTTTGGAAAATGTTTTTTGTTTTAAATGTAAAGCCACAAAGACATTCTTATCTGATTATCTAGTAATGTCTAGGACTCTATATAGAATAAAATTGAAATATTTCATATGCTTTAGCTCAAAATCACTCTGAGAAACTTTTAACTTGAACTTGAGAACAATACAAATGGAACATCAATGACCAGCAGTAAAGAAGTGGCTAGATCAACTTTGGTTCTCCTGTTTTGTGGAGTATTGTACCACTAAGAGTACTGATAAAGAATGTGCATATAGCACATAACTTTATTTTTATAAGATGTTGGGCCAAGAAGTCACAGAAAATAGCACATTTGTACAGTTGACATATACACAAAACTTAAATGTGTAGCATATGACTGGAATGAATTACATTGGAATAATAATATTGTGCTTGGATAAGTAAGGTGGGTGGGAGAAGCTGAGAAATCAGATAATCCCCCATTTCTTCAAATTTAACATTTTTCTTGAAAACTTCATACATAAGCACTGCATCTACTTCAGTCCTGGCCCCTCCCCTCCCAACTCCTTCCAGGTGGCCTCCCAAACTCATGACTTCTATTATTTTTGTTACACATATATACATATGTATGCACACACACATTCACATACGTATATACAATCTACTGGGTCCACGTGTCCAGGGCTGATCACTTGAGGTTGGATAGCCTATGTGGGACCTTGTTCCTTGAGCAGATGGTTTCTCCCTCTCTCAGCAGCCATAGGGCAATGGTTCTCAACCTTCCCAGTGCTGTGACCCTTTAATAAAGCTCCTCATAGTGTGGTGACACCCAACCATAAAATTATTTCTGTTGCCACTTAATAACTATAATTTTTCTACTCTTATGAATCAGAAGGTAAATATCTGTGTTTTCCTATGGTCTTAGGTAACCCCTGTGAAAGGGCCATTCGATCCCCAGGTTGAGAACCACTGATCTGGGGGATGGGACCATACAGGATTTCCCCTGTCCATGCTGCCTTGTCAGCTGCTAGTAGTTGCTTTTTTTTTTTTTTAAATCCTGAATTTTTAAACCTCTCAAAATAACATCTATCCTTTTTTGTGGGTTATGACAACATATATGCAGGTGAAACTTTGAAAATGATTTTTAAAACAGTTTAATAAAGGAAATAAACTGAGGGCCCCTTCTTTGCCTCTTGCTGATGGCGCCGAGGTGTAGGTTGGAATTAGAGTAGGAGGAAAATAAGTACAGGCAGACCTCTCGCGCTCTGCAAGCAGCAGGAAAATGGTTGCATTAAAAAAGTTTTATTTTATAGGCTTTATACCAAACCTACTTAAAAAAAAAGCCAGTGTAGCGTTTACATTAATTGGGAGTGAGCTTTTTTTTTTTTTTTTTTTTGCCTCTCTACCAGGCTGCTAGCCTGAGTTTGAGAGCCATGGGAGGTACACTATTTCTATCTAGGCAGAAAAACATACTTTAAGGTCTCATTTGCCTTCTCAATAGCAACAGGTTCTAAAAGGTGATCACCTCTCATTTCCAGAGATTGCCAGGAATAGGTCTCCCCATTCAAACCTGCCTCAATACTCAGATACAGCTGGCCAGTTTTGTTTTGTCTTTGGTCATGAAGTACTAAAGTAGACAAGTGTTCGGTCTGAAAGGTCCACTTCTCACCAGTGCTCAGACAAAATCTGCTGCAGCAAATCAATTATTTAAGAAGTAGCTGCTGATCATGCTCCAGTTTGGTAGTCCAAGCTTCAAGAAGAACTTTGCGTAGAGAACCTGTAGATGTGTGAAAAATCAACGATTCCCATCCTCTCTTCCCACTGGTAGGATCACATGCTGTCATGCCAACCTCTGCAGTGGGTGATGGGGTCTGCACTGAGGCTCTCATGTTTGCACAGTTAGTATATCAGCTTTATTAGGGCTAGAAAATGATGAACAATCTTCCTTACACCAATAGTGTTCAAGAATTATATATGTAGGAGCTGAGAGCAAATACTATCAGAGTCAGCTCATATTATCCTAGATCAACATCACAATATTTGCAATAACTCCTTGCAAAACATCAGGAGTGTATGCATTTTGCAAGTTATACTCATTAAAGTTTGCATACTTTTCTTTCCAAGCTTTTGCTTTCCAAGTGAGGCTGAATTATCACCACTCTAATATTTTGGTTTCGAATCCCTGATTGGTATAGCCTGGACCAGTGTTCTGTGATTGCCTCATCTATTGTCTTCTTCCTGTCACTGGGTTAGCATAACACCTTCAAATTGTTCCAGGACTGAAGGCCCTGGACATCATTCCATTTCTTTAGCTGTGTACAAGTAGAGAAATGTCACACAAATCCCATTTGACTTGTTTTATTTGTACACTAAATAAATCAGTTATTCCACAGTTCATTTGATCAGTTATGCATTTGAGAAATGTTTACTGGGTATCTAGCATGTCAATGTACTGTCCTTGGTGGGGTTAGGCTCAGTGAAGTTTAAAGAAAGGGAATGATTCTTTTCTCACTGAATAGGACACACACTCAGTAAACATAAATCCCTGGAATTGGAGGGAAGTGATAGGAAGACAACAATGGACTGAATTATTTATATTCTGAACTGCTCTCAGTGCTCATCCTTTCTTTCTCATGAATGGTGAAAGCTGTCATCTCCATGTGCTTACCATTCCACTGAAAGAGTGCCGCAGGAGAATTGCATGACCATAGAGCAGGGTCCTGTGGCCACCCCCTTGTGCTGCCTGTGGGAATGAGAAAGAAAACTGTCAGCACATATCAGCTGTGGCTTCCTTGGCAGAAAATCAACACGAACGATTTGGGATGCAGATTCTAAGAAAAACAACCATGGCAAAACTCCCAAAGAATTCATTCATGAAGCAAGTGTCCAGCCAATGGGCAAAAGAAGACTTTGTGAGCATAGCCATGCGGCATCCTTGGGAGAGGGCAGCAAGGCCTGCTGCTCTCCTCAGAAATGGCCGCTGCCTGGGATGAGCAGAAACCCAGAGCTGTCCTACACCGGAAGCATGTAAATGAGGTACACTCTTCTTACCTTCCTTTGAACTTCTCAGAAGCATCCGGGATGAGAGAGAAACAAGTGTGAAGTAACTACAGTCTAGTGCAGAAGGGCAACATGGTGGGCGAGCATCAATGTGCACCTTGGGTCCTGCAGTCTTTTGTTCAATTCTGGGCACTTGTGCTTTCTGCCCATCCAACTCAAATGGTCCTTTTTACACAGATCTCACCAACCAGGGATGGCTCTGAAACCCAGGACTTTCAAAGAGTAACTAGTCCTGCAGAAATAGTCCCCTTAGTGGAGAGACCCATGTGACAATCCTCTCCGCCTCCCTCTGCACATCCATTTTGCTCAAACAGTAGAGAGGGAGGTCAGAGAAGATGAGATGGCCCAAAGGAAATCAAGCCACCTGAAATGAACAACATATGCTGTATAACTAAAGCACAACTTCCCAGTGGGACAAGTGGGTATGAAGAACGGTCAGCTGAAATTAGCAATTGAAAACATTGTTTTGGTACCAATCTAATTCTCTTGACATCATGCTAATCTATCCCCAGGTAACACATTTTTTTTTAAACACACACTCTTTTAAAAGAAGACATTTGCTGCTAACAGGCTTGGTCCTCCTCATACATGGACCAAAAGAGACTCCAAAGTCTGAGATACCTACCAAGATATGTGTATGTGTGTGTGTGTGTGTGTGTGTGTGTGTGTGTGTGTGTGTGTGTGTGTGTGTGTGTGTGTAATTGCCCATGCTTGTGCATGTGAAGGCCAAAAGTAGCCATGGGTTGTCCTTCTACTTACCTTTCACCCCCCCCTTTTTTTTTTTAAAGACAGGGTCTTTCTTTGAACCTGACCAGTTGGCTGGCTAGGTAAAAACCTCCTGGGACCTCCTGTCTCTTCCTCCTAGTGCTGAGATTACAGGTGCATGCTGCAATGCTTGGATTTCATGTGGTATTGGGGGTCTGAACTCAAGTTCTGCACAGCAAATACATTACTCCCCAAGCCATCTTTCCTGGACCAATATCAAGAGGAATTTTAGCATTTTGCTTCTGTAGTCCAAAAGCATCTTTTATGCATCCCATTCTTTCCAGAGTTGCAGACTGGCTGCCCAAGGCACTGTCTGCACTTTTATCCTACCCATCCTGTCCCCTCCAGGCATGGCAACGAGCAATGTAGAGGACAAGAAGCAGGTGGTGGAGAGAGAAACAGAGGTCTGGATAATAAGCTATGAGTGATTTCATTTCAATTCTGTTTGGATTAGCAGAATTGCTCTGTCAAAGAGATTTTTCCACCATGTCGTACAATGAGTCTAAAGAGAGAAAAAAAAAAAAAGACAAATGTGGTATGTTGAAAAGAGGCTGATAACTAAATATAAACGTGGCTGTGCTCACCCCCCTCCTATAGAGATATTTAAGTGTTCTCAGATTTTAATACCATGTAAGATTACACTGCTCTTCACAATATTTCCAAATTTCATGAAATCATTTGCACTAACTTCAGCTGTATTTACAAATGTGTCAACACCTTACATTAAAATTAGATGTACTAAATCATTTTACATCTTGTCTGTCTAGATGGAATTGTCTCTATGAGCCTGTATCCTTACAACTTAACTGATGTTTCCAATGGCTTATATTATATATGCATACTTCTGCGGTGAACAACTGACTGAATTAGATGTCCTACTATCAACCCTGGGTTCTACTCTTTTCTAATTCTTCTGTGTTCCCACCAGCTCCGTAATTATTGGGAGTCAAGAGTTGCTGACTCTAAGCAGTATCCCAGAGTGACTTGGGCTGCTCTTCTCTGATACTTCTAGAAGCATTGATGGGACCTCAAGTCTTTCATTATGATGCCACCAGAGAAAGAAAGGAATTTAAATGCCCATTGGAATTGAATGTAATTTTGCTCTGCAGACCCTTGGAGTCTCACATTCTAGCTTCTTTCTCATATAAAACAGTAGTTTGTAGATGCTGGGGGATATCAGAATCACCAGGTCCCAACTTTCAGTAGGCCTGGGGCTGGCCCAAGAATCTGCATTTCTAACAAGGTCTAAGTGATAGGGATGCCGCTGGTCTAAGGTCAAAATTTTGAGAATTATTATTAGGGGAATGGATGGCTCTGGTGCTAGAATGGAAGAGAAGCCTTCTGTTACTATTATAATTTGCTGCTATGGAGCACATGCTATACATGCATCCAGTGCTTTACATACTATCACAGCCCATTCCCATGATGATCTTTCAAGGTAGCAATGAATGTCAAATTTCATATGGGAGGAATTTGGTACCTGAAGAGGTTAGATTGCCTTATGTTTCACAGTTGATATGATAGTACCATATACACTTGGGTTAACAACAGATCTTAATCTCATTTTTCTAATGTGTGCATAGTGATTACACAAGTCACCAGTGGGAAGAGATACAGAGACATCTTTCATGGGGCTCATATAGCTGGGATCTAATTAGCTCAAACCCTATAGTAGGCACATAACACAGAGTGGTACACATGAAACATCTCACGCAATATTAACTAGTGATGCAATCATAATCACACCCATTTTACAGCCATGTGAACTGACAATTAGATTAAATAACTTGCTCAAAGTCATACAGGTCCCAAGTGCAGAGTCTGGACTTCACAAAGGGTATTTAACCATGCACCACAGTATTGCCTTTTCTGTAGTGTGGCAGAGGAGATGAAACTTAGACAAAAATAAAATCATGTGACATATAGAAACAGCATGCATATTAAACAAGTGAAGCACAGAGTTTTGAATAGACCAAGATGGTAAGGAGCATGTATTAGGGAATGGCTCTATTGAACAGGTAGACCAACTACGGGCTGCTGGCATACAAATGGTAAGAAAGAGATGCCAACACAGGTCAACTGTGTCCTGGAAGTAGGAAGTGTGAGTCACACTTGAACATTCACAGCTATCTAATAGTTAGTGCCCGTATGCCCATGGACAGGGACAGGTGGATAAGTTGGGGACAGAGACACACTGGTCAGGCTATGCAGGACCAAGACTCATTTGTTCACTGTCCCACAGCCATAAACACTGTAGTAGTTTAGGAAAGGATGATGTCACAGTCAAAATTGTACCTTAGAAAGGGAAGTCAGAGGTAGATAAACAGAGGGATCAAGCCCTGAGGGGCAGAAATGATCGTTCTCTCATTCGGCTTCTTTCACACGGTTGACAGGGAGTGAGCAAGCCAAACTTTGGAGGGGTATCATTCTTTATTCCTTTCTGTCGTCCAATCTAAAACAACTATTGGTATTACCTTTAAAAACATTCTTCAGGCAACCACTCGGCCACCCACTGCTCCTAGTCTCCGAGACTGCTTTGTGTCTCATCTATCCTATGGTAACAAACTTCAAATGTGCCTGCTAAGTAAGTTGTGGGTTAATGTGGCAGTCAGAGCCACCCTTTCCAAAGCTGTAAACCACATCTTTGTTTTTTTGCTACAAACCCTTCAGTGGCTTGCTATCAAGTTAGAAGCACAATGCTCCCACTGTACCTTCTAATTCTCTGCATTAGGATGGGAAATCTTTCTCTGAGCACCCACACAGTGACTATGTTAAGTTCTGTGACCTCTGTCTTAAAATTACCAGTCACACCTCACATAGTTTTTAAAGGAATCTGTTCAAAGTTTAGACACCATTTTTACCCTAGCACACTGTACAAACAAAGGTTACAGGCTAGATTTTGCTCGCTGATTTTAAGTTGTCAAACATTACTCTACCTGAGTTGGCTCCCTTACACCTCTCTGACTTCAACTACCAGAAACACATTTCCCATTGCTTCTGCTCTAGCCATACTGACTGCTCTGTACTTTTCAGATAACCTTGCTCCTACCACAGGGCCTTTGCACATGTGTTTCACTCTCCCCAGAATGTACTTCCAATGTTCTCACAACCAACTTCTACCTTATATTAATTTCTACCCCAACATATCTCATTAGAGAAGTCGCCTATTATCATTCTTTACCAGAAGGTAGTCTTCCTCCATCATGGTCTTCTGTTTTATTAGTAGCTGATGTGAATTGCTAAGTTAATTTTGTTCTGTATCTGTTCTTCCTTCTCCAAAAATAAAGTAATCTCCATGAACATTCAAACTAAAATGCTGTGTCTCTGTTATTTCAATGAGTATCAGATGAATTGGAGACACTCACCAAATATTTCCTAAATGAATGAGTAAATAATCAGTAGATATGGCCCTCGGGTTTCCATTTTGCATATCAGAAAGAAGAGGCATAGAGAACTCAACAAGCTTCTCATAGTTGCCTTGAACATTTGGGTTGGAATCTAAACTTGGGGCTAAGAACAAATTCTACTAACTCTTTTGATATGAACCCTGGACTAGTATCTCAGGAAAGAGTCACATCTTACATAAGAGATACACATAGCTGTTCGTGGGGCAGTGTTCACATCTCAAGGCTGTGAGACTTTCTTTGGGTGGTAGTCCTATCCCTGCCATGAGTGTCCTTGAATGTCATTGCTGGCGGAAGGATGCTCTTAGAGTCACCTTATATTGTGGGGGAACAACAGGGAAAAGCTGTTAAAGAGTCCTGGTTCTATGTCTAGAGTAGGAATATGTTACTAGACTCTCAATTCAATCGTCTCACCTATAATTCAAGACTAGTTTTCAGTATTGACATTTGTTTTTGTAGCTTCCAGAGAACAATGAAGGTAGACCAGAAATCACAGCTGTGGAGGCTTACCTTC